CAACAGTGGAAAAAGAGAACAAAAGGGGTTCTGACAGCTTTGGCATAAAGGGTATAGAGAGATGAGGGAGTGGGGCCGGTGGGAGGGGCCCACGCCTTTTGGGTGAGGTTAGATTTGCAGACTCCTCAGAGATGGGCTGAAAATCTCCTGTGGAGATGGCCCACAGCCTGACAGATCTGGAAAGAGCTAGAAATAGGCTACGTGCTTCTCCAACCTTGCCACTCACATATGTCTGTCAGTACAAGCTCCCGTGGCCTTCCTGGTCTGAGGGAGTGTAGCCACCTTAGTCTCCCTCCTTTTCCCATTCCCTTCCTGCTTGCACTTTGCATGGGACATGGTGTGGAGGGGCTAAGGGGTGAAAGCTTTGATTATTCTAGAGAAGTTTTTCACTTGCTTCCTCAGATCCTTTGGGGTTTTTAGTTTGCAGGTAACTGCTTGCAAAGATAGCATGTAGAGTATTTGACTGTACTATCTTAACTGTGTGTGTGTGTGTGTGTGTGTGTGTGTGTGTGTGTGTGTGTTTTGACCTTGTGCACAGTGTGTGTGGCTGCACTTTCCAAGTACTGTGAGATGTGCTGGTTGCATTGTGGGGAAATTTTGGGTTTGGGCCTCAGCCGTCTCAAAGGGGGGTAGAGGGCAGGTGACAAGAGGTCACTTCTTTAGGAATGTCGACTCTAGGCTCTGAGTTGTGCCTGAGTGGTACCTGAGCTCACAGTGATGTGCTCACAAGTGACCAGTAGATGGTGCTCTAACAACAGGAAAATATGGCTTCTGCCTCCTGGGCTGGAAAGGGGCTTTTGGAAACCAGGGTTTCCAATCTGTTATGACCAACTGCTGATTCTCTGCATCTCCATTTATGGGCCTTTAAGTGGACAGTGGAGCTGGGGACCCCGGAGGCAGAACGCACACCAGGTTCCCCTAGGAAGAGCCGTATGGCAACGACCTGCTCTCAGGTGTTTTCTCAGGATCCTCCTGGGTCTGGAGGACAGTGGATGTGCTCCGGGTTAAGCATCTTCCCAGCATGGTCCCAGGGGCGCTCGGCACAGACCCAATGTAGCTTGAGGATGGTAAGCATGGCGTTCCCATAGGCTTAGCATGATCATACAGTTTCTTCTTTGGACGATGAACAGTTTGGAATTAATACTATTACTGCCCAGAAGAGGTTCGTATGGATATCCGAAAGAGCCATAAAATGGAAGTCAGAGGAACTGTAAGAAGTCCAAACTCAGCCTCTTACCGGATGTGGGCCAACTACTTAACGTTCCTGAAACTGCTGGTTTGTCCACCAAATCAGAGTCATAAAACATGGGTTGCCAGGCTGCGCTCAGAGGTTTAGAATGAGGTCTGTGTAAACTGAAAACTATTAAACACACATAAGGTACCGTTTAGCTGTTAAGATGTTAGTCCTCTGGGGGCTGGGAGAATGGAGGCATTGGGGAACATGAAAGCGGTTCATAGATCTCCGAAGTTTTAAGAGCTGTGAATGCCAGGTTGGGGGAATGTGAGCGTGTGCCTTCCTTCCCTAGGCCAAGTCCACTCCCAAAGCCATTTGTGCTGTCATGTTTGCCTCTGTCCCCCTGGGCTGCAAGAATTCCCACTTATAACCCCCGTGGAGGTGCTCCTCCTTCTAAGGGTCTTCAGTACTAATACATTTGCGATCCGTGTCTCCTCAGAAGGCAGGAAGGCAAGTCTCAGCTCCAGTGTGTCCTCACATTTCTGTATGTAAAACCCTGTCCCACAGCCACAGAGGACACAGGGCACTGTAGAGAGAGGAGGGGGCATGAGTGCTGGGTCTCTGCTGAGTGGGCAACATTGAAGACACAAGCCAAGGGTTCCTGATCACCCAAGAACCTCTTCTGGGAGGAAAAACTTTGGTGAGCCCTGCTTCCTCTGAGCAGGAACAGACAGGCCTGCCACAGTCCAGCATGCTAGGGCCGGGACACGAAGGGCAGAGGTGAAGTCGCGGTGTGAGAAGGAGGCCCATCAAGCATTCTAGCCAGTCAGGTTAAGGAATCTGATTTCATCCAAGGAGAGGACACATTATTTTTGTCATCTGTTTTGTTCATTATTGTATCTGTAGTGACTAAAACAGTGCCTGGTGCTCAAAAATATTTGCCAAATGAATGATTTGAATGAATTTTGTGCCATGGATCATGGTCCTTTCTGAACGCCCTTTTGGATTCTACGTATTACGGGGTTTCTGAGACAGCCACTGGGGACTGGCTCTCAATGACTAACGGGATGAGGGGGCTTCATGGTTCATGGCATCATCTTCCCTTTCCTTCTGACTAGGGATTCAGACAGAAAAGGACCCTCCAGTTAAGGGAGGCAGAAGAACAGGGTGAGGCAGCCATGTGAAAACCCAATACTAATCAGAACTGACTCACCTTTAATCATTATTTTCCCTGAAATGGGCTCCCCTGAATCAAAAGGTCAACATGCTGTCCCCAAGAGCAGCAGTGCCTGGCGGGGTGGACATGTTGAGACCAGTCCTTTGGTTTTCCACAACTCAGAGAATCTCTCTTCACACATGCACATACATTCGCACACAGAAGACCCTTGTCAGTGCTCACATGGCCTTTTTCTCACACAGACACATACACGTAGGAACACACATGACCCTCACTTAGACACACCTCCCCTCCCACCAGGTCACCTCACACAGAGACGCTGCCTTTCATAGGAGGGAAGCAGGACTCACCCAGATTTCCAAGAGAAGGGGGAGGGGAGAAACTCCTCTTCCATTGCCTGGGTAGGGAATGTTTGGAAAAGGGGAAGGTGTGTTCTAGCTAGTGGACATGGAAAGGGACAATTGGTATCTGTCCTTGATCCAAAAACCACTGAGTCACTTGTGGGGAAGGGCTTGGTTGCTAAACCTAGGGGGCCTTTCTCTAGGGCAGCGGTCCTCAAACTATGGCCCGCGGGCCACATGCGGCCCATCAAAAACATTTGTTTTTTTACTTCAAAATAAGATATGTGCAATGTGCATAGGAATTTGTTCGTAGTTTTTTTTTAAACTATAGTCCGGCCCTCCAGAGGTCTGAGGGACAGTGAACTGGCCCCTGTTTAAAAAGTTTGAGGACCCCTGCTCTAGGGCTTAGAGTCCACCTTACCCACTTCTGCAGCTCACATTCTGATTCTCTTTTTATCTTCATTAATGTAGTGGGTTTGAGGAAGTCAGTGTGGGGGTAAAAATAGGAATGGGAGGATCCTCCTGATTGTTAAGGAAATTTCAAGGAGGGTAGTTTTAGTCCAGAACTCGCCATCTAGGGCCCCAACATCTGGACCACCCTTCCAGGAGCTACAGCCAAATCCAAGAGGCTGCCCCAGATCGCCCTGTTTGGAGAGGGAGGGAGTGAGGGCAGATACTCATGCTGGGAACTGGTACCCACACCAGAGTGTGGTGCCCCCAGAAGTCCTAGGGTCCTTCAGGGGACCTCCAGGCTGCTAAGTGGGGAGTACAGATTGGATGCTTCCTCTGTGGAAATCCCTGGGCAGCATTTGCGGAGTTTGGGAGCTCCGTAGGAGCGCGGACTCGGCCCGGTACACCTGTGCAGGGCGCAAAGGCGTGGACTCCGGGTTAGGGCAGCAGGCTAGGCAGCGCGCGGACCTGGCCCCTGCACAGCAGGCGCCGGTGCATGCAAGACTGCCTATGTGCCTCCGCCAGGCCTCGGCTCCCGCAGAGGCCGCCCGCGGCACCCGCCCCTCTCCTCTTGGCCTCACTTGGGGAACGGCCACTCTTCCCGGACCTTTGCAGAGGTGTTGCTCCTCTACCCTCTGGCTCAGTCAACCAAACCAGTCCTGCATCCCAGGGACCTCCAGGCCGTTGGCTAGGGTCCTTCCGGCTCCATCCCCGCTCCTCCCAGCCTCGCCAGCCCCGCCCCCGCTTCCCGGGGAGCCCCCGCGCAGGCCGCGCCAGCCTCGGCGCGCTCTGCTCTCTCCGCCTCTCCGCCCGCCCCTTCTCCCCTGCCCCGCGGAGCCCGCTGTTGGAGTGGAAGAGGAAGACGAGTCACAGTAAGCAAGTTTGGTCCGTGGACAGCTCCCGCGGCGGGCAGGCCACCGCTCAGCTCTGCTGCAACCTGTTCCTCCCGCGCCCCAGCGCTCGCCGCCGCCGCCCGCGCGCGGCTCCCGCCCTCTCCCGCGCAGCCGCGGATCGCTGTTGCATGCTGATCCGGGGAGGCGGCCGCGGCCAGCGCTGCGCTCCGGGCGGATGCTGGCACCCGGGCTTCGCTGCTCTCTGGACGCCGCTCAACTTCTCTCCCAGGCGCAGGAGCTTGGAAGTCGTTGGTCTCTCTCCGGTTGGATCGACTTATTTTGAGATTTTGGGCGTTGCGGTTTACGCAGGAACCTCTGTACCGCTCTCCCCCCTTCCTCCCTCTCTTTCTCTCTCTGAACCTTTTTGGATGCCTCTGTGCTGGCAGATTTAAAGACCCAAGTCTTGGCCGTGGAATATCTTGGATGGACTTGCAGGGGCTGGTGTTCTAAAGCCTGTCACCACAACCCTGTCCTTGTCTTTTTGTTGTTGTTAAAGTTCTTTTGTTTTAATTTTTTTTCCTTCCCCCATTAGTAAATCACCAAACTGTTACCTAGCCGGCCGGTGCCCGCCTCTCCCAGGACCAGGTGGTGGTCTGCCAGAGCGGAGCTGTGTTTGAAGAGCAGCCTGCTCCACCCCTCTCCTCTCCAGCCCTGGAACGCCACCACACACTGGCATTTTGGAAAAAAAAAATTGCCTCCAGAAACTGAGCACCCCCACCCCCTTGCCAGCCTTCTCCTCCCCCTTTTTTAACTCCTTGAGGAATGGAGCTTTGCAGAGGTTGTATTTAGATTCAACAGTTCGGAGCAGCGGGTCGCTGCTGCTGCTGCTGCTGCCGCCTCTCCAAAGAGCTCAAAGGCTCCCGGGAGGTGGCTGTCCCCCGCCCGTCTGGATGCGGCTCTGAGTCTCCGCGTGTCTCTGCTTGTTGCTGGGTGCAGGTGTTCGGCCGCGATCACCTTTGTGTGTCTTCTGTCTGTTTAAACTTCAGGATGGCTCGCTTCGGGGAGGCAGTGGTCGGCAGGCCGGGGTCTGGCGATGGAGACTCGGACCAGAGCAGGAACCGGCAAGGAACCCCGGTGCCTGCCGCCGGGCAGGCGGCCGCCTACAAGCAGTCGAAAGCGCAGAGGGCGCGGACTATGGCTTTGTACAACCCCATTCCTGTCCGGCAGAACTGTTTCACCGTCAACAGATCCCTGTTCATCTTCGGAGAAGATAACATTGTCAGGAAATACGCCAAGAAGCTCATCGATTGGCCATATCCTTTCTTGACCACCATAACTCCCCTCTCCCCCTTTGCATTTCTTGGGTGAGAGGGGAAACCAAGCGTGGAATCTGCCCCCCCTATTTCCTTCCTGATGCCCATTTGCCCCTTTGCTGATGTGCACCAGTTACTTCGACGCATCTCAGGGGCAAGCTTGGTGCCATAGAGACCAGTGTGGGCACTAGTGGTTTTCAAGGTAAGACTTTTGGGCTCTGATTTTTCCTGTGTGGCGGTTTCTAGCATCCCTGGGCGCAGGGTGTTGAGGTTTTGCGTGATTGCCATTCCCCCCCTCCCCCCAGTCCTTTCACATTGAAAGGGTTGCCCTAAACTCAGGGCTTCCTTTCATACCCTGTCCCCCTATTCCTACGTCAGGTCACCCCCGTCCCCACCAGCTGGAGGGACACCTGCGTTATCTGCCCACAGGGGAGGTCCAGCTCAGCAACTTCAAGAGCTCTGGGCTAAGCCCGTATGGACCCATAGGTGAAATAAGGCAGGCTTTGCCTGGGGACCCAGCTAACTCTGGGTGGAAGTTGCACTGAAAGTGAAGTGGAGGAGTGCGTCAGGGGAGGCAGTCTCTAATGGCACAGCCCAAAGAGCTCAGCTGGAGTTCTCTTCTGAGCCAGGGAAGAGCAGCTCACCAGGGTCCCTGCTTTCCGTTATCCTGAGCTGGGGACCCCACTGAGTGCTCTCCCAGCGCCCAGGATTCAGGTGGATCTGCTGGGCCTGAATTCATCCGCTGAAGGCTGCATCGGGGGAGCCCAGAGGTGTGCCCGCAATTGGTCTCCCCCTGGCTCCAAAGGAACTGCTCTCCACAGTGGGCTGGTGGGGCGGCTGATGGTGCAGGGCCGGGGTGAACGGCAGAGAGGGAGCGTCTTTGCAGGTTTAAGCAAGTGCACCAAATGCAGGCTGCTGATTAGGCATCTCACTGCCTTGTTCTTCACTAAGAATTTGGGCGTCCGTCTGGCAAGATCTTTAGGAATTGGGCGTTGGTGGGTGGTGCGGGGGATTAGTAGGAAGCCAGTCAGAGGGGTGGTGGTAATTATGGGGGTAGCTTGGAGACATGGGACTTTGATGCTTGTGGAGAGAGATTTCTTGGGAAGGATGCACCTGCAAAGGAGGCCCCGCCCTTTCCCCCTTTCCTCCCTCCTCCACACCCCCACCCTCCAGGTGTGCATCACAGACATCTGGAGCCCTGCTGGGTCCCTAGTGTCAACTAGGCACGCTGTCTCTCCCCTAAGGGCCTCTTCCTGCTCCCCCCACCCCCGTCTTTAGTCTTCCCCTCCTTCCTCCCTAGTTCCTGCCTCAGCAGCACTGTGATTGGCTGGCGCATGGTACTTCCAGGCAGCACCCCTCATTAGAAATGAAGGAGCATCTCTAAGCAGATATTATTCCTGCTGCTGCACGCATCCTCCTACAGCCACCGGGGCTGGGCTGGGCTTCCTCTCTCCTCCTCCCTGTACTCCCCTCCCTCTTCCCCTCCCTCCCACGCAGAGTGATGGGGCCATGCGGTGCCCGAGTTAACCGTATCTAGGGTGGGGGATTTGGGGAGGGAAAGGATCAGGTCTCTGCAGCCCCGCCCGCCAGTGCGCTGCACAAAGCAGACAGATCTCATTGTGTTGCATGCTGCGGCTGCAAACACTCCTCCAGTCAGGTCTCTGATTTCCCAACAGAGCCCCCTCTCCCTTCCGCCTTCAACAGTTCCCTAAAATTTCCTACCCACTAGGTGCTGCTTCAACATGCACCTCTCTTAGGGGCGCGTTTACTCAGGCGCCCTCCGTTTCCTTGGGGTAGACAAAGCCACCCAGGTGTCCTGAGGGTGGCAAAGTGTGCCCGCAGGCATTGGTGGCACCTCGGACAGCGCCACAGAAATCCCCAGGAGGCTGGGGCGCCACAGTCACCCAGGTTCAGCACCCGGGGCGCTTCCCAGGCTGGGATCTCCTGCACGTTTCCTACACCACGCGGTTGCTGCTGCTCACGTCTCGTCTCCTCTTCCACCGCAAAGACACCGCCTATCTGCTAGGCTGAGAGCGCCAGGTGGAACTGCGGGTTTTACTCCTCCGTTTTCTTGTCTCTGGCCAGAACGAGTGGCTGGGAGTCAGAGGGAAGCAGGAGAGCGGGTTTCAGCGTCATGCTCAGTGCCTTGGCTGAGAGCCTGTCCCAATGGTCTCTTCTAGCCTCATGGCTGGGAGTTTCCCAGTGGTTCTCCAGCATGTAGGCGGTTGTAGCCGTGTTCAGACAACATCTGCTAAGGTGTGTAGAGGAGTCTGGTTGGCCAATTTGAAATACACCATGTTTGCTTTTTTTCTCCTGACTGTACAAGGTAACTGACATACCTTCCCTCTGGTGGTGACCACGTGGGAACGTTGTGCTTTAGCACGGTCTGGGCTCTCTCTATTACCGCCTGCATCCAAGTTCCTAGCCTCACTTCCCTTCCTCTAGCAACACCCAGCTCCCAGCAATACCTTGCTTTTATCCAGTGGGAGTTAGCATGAGCTTCAGTTACCCATCAAGCTTTAGAGCCAGGCTGTCTGGGTTCTAGTCCCATTCCTTCAGCAGCTCTGTGACCTTGAAAAGTCACTTCATTACTTTGCGACTCGGTGTCCTTATTGGTGAAATGAGGGAGACGATCATGATTTACCCGAAGAACTCCATGAGTTAATATGTACCAAGTTCCTAGAATATTGCCCGATACCCACTAAACACTAGCTATTATTATTCGTGAAGTCCTTCAGACATTCCAGCGTACCTTAAGGGAGGGGTCCTAGTTCCAGGTGAACTAAGTCTTCTAGATTTTTACTTCTCAAAGACAGCAAGGAGCAGCATTCCTATCACCTCTTGATAGACAGTCAGAATCCCAAAGCCCCACTGGGATTTTCTAAACCGTAATCTGCATTTGAATAAGGTCCCCAGGTGATTCGTATGCACATGAAAAGTTTGGGAAGGACTCCTCAGCTCACTGTAAGGGGCGCATTTTGAGAAAAGGAAGGTTCAGAAGACGTGTCAAGACCCGCTTCCAGCTGACAGGTGCCCTTGCAGGATGCTTGAGGGTTTGGAAGACTTGGCGTGCTGTGCTTTTTGAGACTTAGACACCCTTCCTAGGCTGGACTTGGAAGGTAATGTGCACCCTTATGTGCTCTTAGTAGTCTCTTAACACTGCATGTTACTGGTCTTTAATCAGATTGGGCTGGGAAGATGAGTTAAATAAAAGGGATGATTTAATTTCTACTCGTAGGACTCTCTAACTTTGGGGGGGGGGGGTAGTAATGTGATCTGGTTCCTAATAGGCAAGGTCTAGTTCTTATGGGAGGAAATGCCCAAGATAGCCCAGATTTGGCATGAAAGATGGCGGCATGTCAACAGCCCACTCTGAATGTGTTTCATTTTTCTTGGAAGCGACATCTGCATCGGGAGATAATTTTATTTTCTCATGGCACTCTCTTCTGCTGTGGAGACCATAACCTTTTTGAAAATGCTAATCTGATTTCAAATGTGGTATTACATTTTATGCGATTCCTCCTTTTCTGTCTCACTCATCTAATAGATCTCACAAAAGGGTTCTCTTTTTCCTCAAGGAATTGGCTGCTCTGAATGTCATTCCACATTCTCTATAGCATGTGCCTACCAGCTCTAGCCCTTCTGTGCCCAGGCCCAGTTCCCCTGTGGACATACAGGGTCTCCCTGATGGTCTGTGAGCTGTCTCACATTGATTTGCGCTTTGCCAGGTGAGAGGTTGGAGGGAAGAGGTGGATCTTCTGACTCAGAGACTCTGTGCTCTTGATGGGCAGGGGGAATTTTTATTTTTATTTTTATTTTTTTTTTACTGGTGGTGTGAGTCATTCAGCAGGAGAGCACATGTTTCCCATGGAAGTGAACATGGTTTAAAGTAGGACAATCCCTGAGATGATGAAGCTCATTACCATGAACCTGTGGACATTCACCCATGATTTCTTATGGCAGAGAATTTCACTGTGGCCCCAAAGAACACTGGCTTTGGGTCAGAAGTTATGTGCTGTGTTATGGTGAATTTCTCATTGAAAATTGTCCACTTGTTTTCGAGGATTTTGGTGAAGATTACTGAAAACTTTCGTTCCCACACCTCCCATTTTGGCGTTTGCTTTTCTCTCGCGTTGGTTGCCTAAAAATACCCAGCACCTTGCAGGATGGTAGACTAATCCTGGCAGGGATTTCAGGGTTGATGTAACGAATGGATCAGGAGTCAGAGTGCCTTGATTGGGGCAGAGGGTGGCAACTAACAAGGGCGGAGCCTGTGACTATATCCTATGGTCAGATAAGCAGAAAGGCTTCCCATCAGCCGTGTCCCTGGGCACGGAAGCAGAAAGCGAGATAGATAGCCGCTGTAACTGGCACTGAGGCTGCAGGATGAAAGCCTTCTTTTTCTAAGGCTCCCAGAGACCCTCCAACTGGCCCATTGGCTCTGCCATTGAAACATGGTGTGGGTCATGTTTCCTCTGGAAACCAGGCTATGACTTGTTGCAGGGCAGCTGTAAGTGTCATGCAACCTGGCAATGGACCTGGAGTGTGAAGGAGGTTGACAGGAATGAATGACTCGAAGATGGTGGCAGAAGTATCTTGGATGCGACAGTTCTGTCTGTTGCAGGGCGCACTGCGCATTAAAGGAGAAGGGAAATGCCGAGAACAGGCCTGCTTCTTCTCTTCTGAAAGATCCAGACTCTAGAATTATTAGCTCCATCCAACGTTGCTTATCTCTTTTTAGCTGTCGCTGTGCAAAATGTAGGTGTTTCCCCGCCTCAAACTCTGCTGCTTCCCCCCTCTCCACAGGAACAGCTGGTTTCTGCCCGTCTTCATGTTCTTCGTTAAAAGATTTGCTAAGCTGTCAGAACTCTTGCAGACCCTCTGACGCCCGTGCTCCCTCAGCAGATCAGTAGCCTCTCTTTGTCATTCGCTGGGCTGCCTGGGAAAGAAAGGGCAGCTCCCCAGCCAGAGCCCAGCCTTGCCATCCAGCCCCTCCGGCGACTCTGACTGTAATGAACACCTTTCTGTTCAAGGAGAGAGAGGCCAGGCCCTTCCCTTTATATTCTCCTTCTGCCTGGACCTCCACCCTTTTCATCTTTCTGTACTAGTATTTCTCCCTCTCTCATTTTTAGGGTTGGGCTTTGTGAATAATTCATCACATGTGTGAGTTTTTCCTAGGATTTTTAGAAAAGGAAGGTTATTCGTCTTCCTCTTGGATATGATCAAGGTTTCTTTTTGTGCAGAGGGACTGGGGCATGAGAAAGGTGGCTGGGGGGAAACAGTGTCTGGCTGTTTCTATAATGACTGCCTCTACCCAGTCCCAGTACATGTGGGTGCCCATCAATATGCAGCTCTTCCTCCTCCTCCTCTATTCAGAGAACACGGTTAACGAGAAGATATTTATGTCCCCAAGTACTTGTCACTCAGAATTCTCTGGTCATCCTGGGTTTTCACGTTGGTAGATGCGGAGCCAGTGAGCCAAGACGCAGGCTCTGTAACCATTTCTTTTCAAATCCTAGTTGATTCATGTAGGAATTTGGAGGGGAAGCAGGCACCGAAATTAGTGTATAGCAACCCTCCACCAACACCACCACTACCACCAGCGCCATGTGGCTTCTAACACAGACCCTTCGGAAGAGGGATAAAGGTGCCAGGGCCCCATGCCAAAGCCTCTCTTCCTGAGCATTCAGAACCTACTTGTGTGCGGTCACCAGTCATTCAGAGAGAGAAACATCCACATGAGAGAGAGACATCGATCGGGTGCCTCCCACATGTGCCCTGACTGGAGCCGGGGGGTTGAACCCTCAACCTAGATAAGTGCCCTGACGGGGAATCAAACCTGCAGTGCTTTGGTGCACACCAGCCAGGCTAGCATAGCTTTTAATTAAAGACAGAAAGTGCAGCACAAAGGTTTTAGGTTCCACCAGCCCTGTGTCCTCTTGTTTTAAGCCACTCCAAGGAGATGTCTGTGGTGTATTTGTGCTGACTGAGTGCCCGAAGAATGTTTACCTAATTTTCCATTTCCTGCATCTTTGGCCAATCTCTGGCTATGAACTCTTGACCCACAATGGCCAAGATCCAGAAAAAGAGCCCTGAATGCCTTGAAAATGGATGTTACCTAAGACAGCCCCACCCCCACTCCCACCCCTCTCCTTGCGCCTGGTGGAGCAGCAGGCACTTCTTAGGAGCTTCTTTTCTTACTGTATTTTGAGTTCCAAGTTTGTAGGACTGAACAGTTCCACTCTTAGCCTTCTTGACTATTAAATAAAAGAAGAAAGAACCATTTCTAAAGTAGTTCATCTGGAGGCAGATAGGCAGGGTTTGGGATTATAACTGCAGGCTAAACTCCAGCTACAGACTCCAGTGGTCCAGCCACGTGAGGGGCTGCAGGAAGAGGCCCTGACTGGCGCCTATGGGTGGTTGATTTGCATGGCTGTTGCAACTCTGCATAATTTTGCTCCCCCCACCCCCGCCGCATTTGACCCTGCCGCATTGCATTTAGTTCCCTGCCTCTGGAGAATTTGGAAAGCCTGCTTCAGTTGTATTCATTGGCTTTCTGGAAGGGTGTATCATTAAAACCAGGGGGTGGGGATGGGGTGGAGTGTCATTAATACCTCTCCCCTTTCAGAGAGAGTTGAAAGGGACTGGGCTGAGCAGTAGGTAACAGGTTAGAGTCACAGTGGGGAACCTGAACGAGGCCTGTTGGATCAGGTGCTGGTGTCATTTCTGTGGCTGAGACACAAGGTTCTGCCAGCCGCCTCCCGGGCCCAGAGAAGAGACGCTGAAAACCAGCACGAGGCAGAAATTAGTCCTCACAAATCCTTCCCAGCCTTTAGCTTAGCAGGAGGCTTGAAGTTTTTCAAACTTTCTCGATTTCCACACCATTTTCTCATGGGGCTGGTCAGAGTCAAAAAGCATGAAATGGATTTTCAACAGTCACTCTCTAATGTCCCCCATTTCCAGCTGTGTACTATTGGGAACGCTTTTGCCACTGTTCTGTCAGCGGCTTCTCTTTAGAACAGGTGATTTCATTTTTTATTGAATTGATTGGGGTGACAGTGGTTAATAAAATCATACAGGTTTTAAGTGTACAGCTCTCTAACACATCATTTGCATATTGCATCATGCACTCAGCACCCCAGGTCAAGTCACTTTCTGCCACCATTTATCCTTCCATGCCCTCTTCCCCCACTGCCTTTTCCCTCTGGCAATCACCATACTGTTGTCTGTGTCTGGTGTTTTTTGTTTGTTTGTTTGTTTTTTGCTTAATCCCTTCAGCTTTTTCACTCAGCCCTCCAACGCCTCTCCCCTCTGAGAGCTGTCAGTCTGTTTTTTGTATCTATTTTGTTTTCTTAGATTATTTTGTGCATTAGATTTCACATGTAAGTGAGATCATGTGATATTTGTCTTACTCTAACTGGCTTTTTTCACTTAGCATAATACTCTCTAGAATTGGTTCTCAACCTTCCTAATGCCGCGACCCTTTAATACAGTTCCTCGTGTTGTGGTGACTCCCAATTTCATTGTTACAAATTGAACATAATTAAAGCATAGTGATTAATCACAAAAACAATATGTAATTATATATGTGTTTTCCGATGGTCTTAGGCGACCCCTGTGAAAGGGTCATTCGACCCCCAAAGGGGTCACGACCCATAGTTGAGAACTGCTGCTCTAGATCCATCCATGCTGTCCTATAAGGTAAGATTTCCTTCTTTTTTTAATGGCCAAGTAGTATTCCATTGTGTAAATGTACCACAGCTTTTTTTATCCACTCATCTACTGCTTGATGGGCACTTGGGTTGCTTCCAGATCTTGGCTATTATAAATAATGCTGCAATAAACATTGGGGTGCATATATTTTTTAAGTAATGTTTCAATTTTCTTCAACTATATTCCCAGAAGTAGGATCGCTGGGTCATAAGGCAATTGCATTTTTAATTTTTTGAGGAAACACCATATTGTTTTCCACAGTGGCTGCACCCATCTGCATTCCCACCAGCAGTGTACTAGGGTTCCCTTTCTCTACATCAGCACTTGTTGCTTGTTACTTTATTGATAATAGCCATCCTGACAGGCGTGAGGTGATATCTCATTGTGGTTTTACTTTGCATCTCTGATGATTAGTGACACTGAACATCTTTTCATATGTCTATTAACCATCTGTATGTCTTCTTTGGAGAAGTGTCTATTCAGGTCCTTTGCCCATTTTTAAATTGGATTGTTTGTTTTCTTTGTGTTGAGTTGTATAAGTTCTCTATAAATTTGGATATTAACCCCTCATCAGTTGTATCATTGGCAAATATGTTTTTCCATTCAGTGAGTTGTCCGTGGTTTTCTTTGCTGTGTAAAACCTTTTTAGTTTGATGTAGCCGAATTTGTTTATTTTATCTGTTGTTTCCCTTGCCTGAGGAGATAAATCAGAAAAAATATTGCTACAAGAAATGTCTGAGATTTTACTGCCTATGTTTTCTTCTAGGATTTTTATGGTTTCACGACTTACATTTAAGTCTTTAATCCATTTTGAATTTATTCTTGTATACGGTGTAAAGAAGTGGTCTAAAAGGTTTCCTTTTTTTCTTTCCATGTATCCATCCAATATTCCCAACACCATTTATTGAATAAACTGTCTTTATCCCATTGTATGATATTGGCTATGGGCTTGTCATACATGACCTTTATTATGTTGAGGTATGTTCCCTGTATTCCTACTTTGCTGAGAGTTTTTATCATAAATGGGTGCTGGATTTTATCAAATGCTTTTTCTGCATCTATTGATATGATCATGTGATTTTTCTACCTCATTTTGTTTATGTGGAATATCATGTTTATTGATTTGCAAATATTGTACCAATCTGGCACAACCGTGATAAATCCCAGTTGATCATGGTGTGTGATCTTTTTAATGTATTGCAGGATCCAGTTTGCTAATATTTTGTTGAGGATCCTGCGTTTTATATTCATGAGGGATATTGGCCTATAATTTTCTTTCTTTGTAGTGTCTCTATCTGGTTTTCGACTTAGGATAATGCTGACCTGGTGAAATGAGCTTGGGAGTCTTCCTTCTTCTTGAATTTTTTGGAATAGTTTGAGAAGAATAGGTGTCAGTTCTTCTTGAATGCTTGGTAAAATTCACCTGTGAAGCCATCTGGTCCAGGACTTTTGTTTGCTGGGAGTTTTATTTATTTATTTATTTATTTATTTATTTATTTATTTTATTACTGCTTCGATTTAATTAGTTGTAATCTGTCCTTCGGATTTCTGATTCTTCAATTCAGTTTTGAAAGATGGTATGTTTCTAGGAGTTTATCCATTTCTCCCAGGTGGTTTAATTTTTTGCCTTGTAGTTGTTCATAAATGTTTTCTTCCAATCTTTTGTAGTTCTTTGGTGTCAGTTGTTATTTGTCTTTTTTCATTTCTGATTTTATTTATTTGGGTCCTCCCTCTTCTTTTCTTGATGAATCTGGCTAAAGGTTTGTCAATCTCATTTATCTTTTCAAAGAACCAGCTCTTGTTTTCATTGATCTTTTGTACTTTTTTTTTAAGTCTCTATGTCTTTTATTTTCTCTCTAATATTTGTTATTTCCTTCCTTTTACCTATTATGTGTCTAGTGTTACACTAACCTGGACCTGTAGGACCAGGTGTGGCTCTAGTGTGGGGAGAAGAGATGGCTAGACGGCAGTGAGGACACTAGCTGGCTGGTAGAGGATTGCAGGGTCATTTCATGGGAATCTGGAGACAAGCTTTTCCTACTTCACAGACTTGCTAAGGCTCAGTCCAGGTTCTGCGTTACCCCACACAAGCTGTGCAAAAAGTACACAGTGTTAGTTGCTATCTGGCAATTTGTTACACAGAACTCTTTATTATTTGGCACCCAGAGATCT